GAACCCCTCGCTGGTGTCGTTTGCCCCCAGTACTCTTTCCTGCCACGGCAGGGGGTCGGACTTGATGATCTGCTCAGGCCCCTTCCGACCCTACAAACTATGAAACTACAGAACTATAGCGTGACTTGATGACAACCTGATAACTGTGGTGATCACCGTGTATTTATAGCATCACTACTCAGTGACTATATCATTTTTTCTACATCATATTTATAGTGTGACATACTGCAAGCAACCTAGTGCAGGCTGAAGATTGTCACTCTAGTAGCCGTGGTCTACACCCTAATGAGCATTGTTGCCAGACAGCCTGATTCCGTTGTCTAGGACTGGTTCACTGAGTCTGATTACCCACTGTAAGGCATCACAAGATACAACACCCTCCGTAGACATATTGAACTCCACTGCAAAGCTATTAGCGGGTTTGCCCCCATTGCTGTTATTGTCACTGGGCTCCCTGTTCAATTGGTAGCAGTCTCCAGCAGGAAATGTCCCTTTCCCCCATAATTTTCTATCCTGCTGCAGAGCATTATGGGCAATGAATGCAAATCACAGCCCCCTTGCAGGGCAAGTTGGGCAGGGCTTGCTGGGCACTGCAGTGTGGGGTGCAGCTTATGACTATGCCTCTTTCTTGCAGCACAACAATGAGTGCAGGATCCATTGAGCAAGAGCCGTCGCGCAAGCTGGCCTGCTGCGGGGTGCCCCTCATCACTGAGGACATGCAGTCTCTGGCCATCCGCACCCTCTCGGGCACTGACATCAACAAGCACTATGATCTTATCCGCGAGCTTGGCAAGGGCACCTATGGCAAAGTGGATCTCGTGTCCCACAAAAGCACAGGTGAGGCCAGCTCAGCCTTAGTGGCATAGGGGAATGAACCCAGTTATCCAGGCTTGCTTCCCTTCTGGGTTGGAGGGAGGAAGGCCACACTAGGTTGACACTAAGAGACACCCAGGAGGCTCTTCCATCCTGCTGGCAGTCCTGAGGGGGTGGAGAAGACCTGGCAGAAGGGCTGATATTCCTGCCTGGTTCTTGATGACCCAAGGGAGTTGGCCTTGGGAAGGCAGCATGTGCTCTGTGCTGGAGATTGCAATACATTTGAGAAAGGAGAGCAAGTAAGAGGAGTGGGCACTGAGGATGGTATGTGGGTGAGGTTGGTAGGTGGGCACTGAGGATGGTAGGTGGGTGGTGAAGCATCAGGTGGGCAGGCCAGTAGCAATCACTGGCCCTTGACTGAGCCTGGAAGTCTTTGTCCATGGTCTTCAGTGAAAGACCTTCTCCCCTCCCCTCGCAACAGGCTACCAACAGGCTACCTAGGTCTCTCTCTCCTTGATTCTGCCTCTGGGTGCTTTATCTTTCCCCCTTCCCCTTTAGCCTCTCCATGGTTCCAGGGGCCCATCCCTTCATAATCTGACCCTTGGGGAGGAGTTGATATGGGTGCTGGTGGGGGCATGAGCCTGGACAGGGGCCTCACGGGCACTCTCATTGTCTGTTCCCCTTTGATGGCCATGAGAGACCTGCCAATTTTCCTTCTGTGCCCTTCTCCATCCCCTGTACCATTCTCTGTGCCCCCTGCCCCCTACTTTGCTGCCAACAGCCTGCCCCTCGTGCTGTAGATCACTGGCTCTCTGTTTTCCCTGGGACTCCTTCTTTTGATGAGGACACTGCCCCAGGCAAGGTGACCTGAGTTGGTATAACAGAGCTGAGAAAACTCTGTCTACCCTTATCAATGTCTGAATTGCCTGTGTGCCACACACTGCCCTTGGCATAGTTAGAAATCAGCTTTCCTGTCCACCCCCTTGCACTGGCCCCATCCCTGCCTCCAAAGACAGCCTCATGGACAGCTGCCATGTGCATAGTCTATCAATGACATATCATGTGGGAGCACTTGCATGTACAGCTCCACCCCAGCATTTACACAGGCATACTCAGGACATATGTTTTCTCTAGATACACATGCATGATGTATGCTTTTTGAACAGTATATTGCACTGCAGAAAGGTGATGGTACATGGCACCAGTAGATCTATATCTCTGCTGCACTAATTTCTTTTGCAACCACCAGATGTGTAGTATAGATAGGCCCTTGGGATTTTATCCCTTGTAATATTTAGCCCAACTCGGTGTCAGTCGAAATATGTTACCATTGAAATGGCAGCAGCTGCCACCATCTTGTCTGAGCTAGTGCTTTCCATGGTGGCGCTGTCAGGATAACCCAGGCCTGGGCATATGCACCTGTAGATGATGGGAGACTGGCTTTCAGATGCTGACTCACTTTAGGTGCAACCCAACTTAATGGATCAGAGAGCTGGTTTCTCAGGAGGGTGAACTGTAGGGTGTGGGTGTAGACTAGGCTATGGATATTTATGGCATTGGTATATGGAAGGATATGGGGGGTTTGCATCAAAGATACTGGGATGCACAGGGCAGTGCAGGGCATTCCAGAGTATAGACTTTCTGACAGGAGACATGCTGGGGTGTAGGACTTGGGGGTACATGTATGTAGAGGTGGAGAATATCTAGTGCTGACCAGGTATGGGCTCCTTAGTGGAGCACAGAGCCACACTGCATCCTCAGAGGGCCTCATGGACCAGTGACTGACCAGCACAGCCCTTCTGTCAAGGGCTGCTCAGTGTAAGGATTTATTTGAAGACCAGAAATAGTTAAAAGGCAGGTTTGAAAGGCTGGTACCATGGTACCAGTAGTAGCAAGGAGAGCATGCTGACAGCTCAGCAGTGCCCAGGCAAGGAGAGCATGCTGACAGCTCAGCAGTGCCCAGGTAGTCAGGGTGCTGACCATGCTGGTGTGAGCAACCAGCAGAATGGGGTAGGTGGCACTGCTGCCTTTGCCACCTGAGATTCAGGCAGAAGGCAGGGTGGGTGGGAACCTTATAGACCAGGAGACTATTGGCCACCTGAGAATGAGGCCAGGCCTGTTGGGCAGTAACCAGATCTCTCATTTGAGGCTGTCCTCATTCATCCAGAATCAAAACCCAGGACAAAACTCTTTACAGGTGTAACTCTCCTGAACTACATTGTTGCTCAGTGGCCAGGGAGAGGACATAGCCTGACAGTGTGGTCCTGGAAATGACTGGCAATTAACTTGAATAAGCTGTTGTTAACTTGCAGAGAACACAGCATCATCCCATGAAAAAAGTGTTGGCACAGTTATCTCTCAGACTTCACAGGTACTAGAAGTGGGACAATGGACTGGTATCTGTAGGATCCTGGAGGAATGAGAGGCTTTCTCCTGGAAGAAATGCTAGGCCTTTGAGGTTTGGGGAGTGGCCTGACTGTTCCCCCTCCTATTACACATAGGTTTGACTCCTGCCAGGTGCAGGCTGGCAGTACAGAGCCTGTCCCCCTCGCCACCATGCCAGTGATAGGGATTGTGGGGAATCTCACTGGAAGGCCTGTTTCTGTGGAAATCCTTGAGCCAAGAGGCTCAGATGAATTGGTCCCCAGCAGGTTACCCATCAAGGTGGTGGAAGCTCCATCCTAGGAGGTTTTCAAAGCCTGGCTAGACAAAGCCTTGGCTGGGTTGATCTAGTTGGGGCTGGTCGTGCTTTGAGCAGGGGGTTGGACTAGATGTGACCTCCTGAGGTCCCTTCCAGCCCTCGTTTCCTATGATTCTAAGGCCTCCTCTTCAGCCTCAGATTCAGTTAGTGCTGACCAGGCCTGGCCTCTCTGAAGGAATCTGAAGGGTGCTTATCCTTGCCTAATAAATGCCTCATCCCAGGTGCACAAGGTAGACCTGAGGAGAAAGGCTTCACTTGTGAAAACTGTGCTAGAATGAGGGAGGCAGGGTCCTTACCCCTCAGCTTGAGGCAAGTCTGGGACACCCACACAGCCAGGGGGCATCCTCCTAATTCTGGGTGTCAGAGGTGGGCAGTGGGTCTGAGTCACTGGTCCACTCCCACCTCAGCCTGCAGCTGTGTGGGTTCACTCTCTGCCATTTCACTGGCTGTTCCCTAGCAGGCCCACACACCTTGGACCCTGCTGAGCTGGCCAGGTCATGCTCTGAGGTCTGCTGAGGCTGCAGCATTTCTTTCTGCACAGTACCTCATGCAGAAGACATGGTACTTGTGGGCTGCTCTCAGCCCATTGGGACCATGAAAAAAACCTCAGCAGGA